GCCTAGACCCTTCTTCAGAACCTTCAGACCTTTTTTCTGAAGAAGAGTCTAGGCCCGAAACGTCAGCCTTCCTGCTCCTCTGATACTGCTTGGCCTGCTGTGTTCATCCAGCTCTACACCTTGCCTGAATCAACTTCCATTTTTGTATATGGTCACTGACTAACCAGAACTGTTATTTGCTATTTATTACCCAGTAAGGATTGGCAAATTGGCAGACAGATTCAAGGATCCAAATAGCCTATTGCGAACTTTGTCCTAATAAGGACAGGTTTGCAATCTAATCCAGAGACTTATATTCATTACAACTTTTCAATTTGACTTAAGAAAATAACTAAATCATTTGGGATATAGAGAACACCTCACCATATCAATCAGAAATATGTTCAAGTATTCAAAATTACTCAGCATTGCATTAATTGCTGCACAGGCAGAATACATTAACTGTTTGGAACATGGAGTATAGAGAAAGATAAGTCATTAATGCAATTTTGGTTCTGTTTGGTAAAATATTTTGACCAAAAGACAGGACTTCTTCCTTCATCTCTTTGAATACAGCCATGAAATTCTCATCTTCCAACAAAACCAATCAAGTGATTTGGATGGGCCCAATTTACAACATTTAGTTCATCAAATGACTCTCCAACAACGCAGAGCTCTCTTAGTATTGTGCTGGAATATCTACCTAAAACATGTGTTCAGGTTCTGCTTCCTGAATGCTACCAAGTAAGCCAGGCTTAGTTAGAACGAATAATTGATATTTTTAAACATTAGAAACTCAAATAAAAAGCCTCACAAGAGAATTAATTTCAAAATATTTTCTTTTAATATACTTAAAAAAAAATTTCCCTGGCAAAACCTGCTGACAAGAAGTTACACTACTTTAAATAAAAAAGTAAACATTTCAAATTTTTCCCTAATTTATTTTTTAAAAATATAGTATAGTAGCAATAACTTTCTTGAAGTCTCCTTAACAAAGTGGCTTTTCTGCTTTAATAAATCAACCTTTCTATTGATAGATGTTATTGCCAAAATCTAAGCATATCTGTTTAAAACCCTACGTACAGGATGCACCTTTATTACCAATTCATCAAATCATTCAAGCAACCAATTGTATTTTTTTCCTTTGTTTTTATCAGATAAAATGCCTTCAGAATAATACCTGACACAAAAACGTTATTTTGAATAAAGCAACATAAACTTAGATTGTATATCTTTAATATTGCACAACCAAAGCTCCTCTTTTTGTACTTTTACATGATCATATGTAAAAAGTAAAATGTAGGTTACATCTGTGGCATTAGTATGTATTTACAGGTAACTGGTCACAAGCAAAGATCAAACACCTTTTAGTAGTATGAAATAAATTTCCACAAAGGTGTAAAACTGTAGTCCCAAATATGTTCAAATCTTTAATGTTTCCACTAGAATATAATATTCTATTACTTCGATTTCCTGGGTGTGAAAATACAGGCAGAATTAAGTTTTTAAATGCACGCTCAGGTATTCCACATTTTTGGGTCTACAGTTTAAAGTACCTTAATATCAAGAACCTGATTTGTCTAGTCCAAACTGTACACAGTTAACAGACACTCTAAAGCTGCAATATATCATGAAAAAGTTTGTGTAAACTTTAACAAAGATCATTTAACAGGAAAAGTATGTGTCCAGTAAAGTTGATAAACTAATAAGGAATAAAGAATCCATATCTTTAAACTGGAAATCAGTAGTACAGTAAATATTATTCTGATTCATACTTCCAACTTGAATACTGGTTTGCAAAGATACTATTTTCTTTCAAATAAGTGTGCTGTATCTAATGCACCTGAGCAGTGACAAAATAAGTTAGAGCAGTATACAAGCAAAGATTGGAGGTAAATTAATATTCAACTTAGACTAGTTCGCAGTGCAAAAATTCTGCTTCATTAGCTTATCTTCAATTAGTACTCTAAATGAATGCTTGAAAATTCATGATGTTCACAACAATATATTGCAGCTTTAAAAATGTTTAAAAGCTACACAGGGCCTGTAAGCAATACAGTCTGTGTATTATATACAGTACAATTATTGTTAGAAATAGGCAGAACTGCAGCCCTTACATTATTTTTAATTATTTCTTTATTGATGTTCATCAATCCCTGGCGTTTCACCATGTTGTATTCTAGATGCTAATCTGATCGCTTCTTCCAATGATTGCTGCTCGCCAAGCTATAAGAAAAACATAATTAAGTATGATAATTTTTATAATGTAATATTTCTTTTTGATAAAACTTCATTTGTCAATTCAAAACAATGTGCCACTGATCATTAGACGTTATGTGTGTCAAAGCATACTTAGAAAAGCTCAACTTGTATGGATAGTAAAGTTAATTACATGGAAACAGCAAATAGGAACAGGATAGGCCATTTGGCCCTTTGAACCTGCTCTACCAATCAATATGATCATGACTGATCATCCAACTCAGTGCCCTGTTCCCACTTTCTCCCCATACCCTCTGATCCGAAGAAATATATCTAACACTTTCTTGAAAATATTCAACATTTTGGCCTCAACTGCTTTCTGTGGCAGAGAATTACAAATGCTCACCATTCTCTTGTGAAAAAAAATTTCCTCAGCTCAGTCTTAAATGGCCCACCCTATATGCTTAAACTGTGACCTTTGGTTTTGGACTCCCTGGTCATCAGGAACATCCTTCCTGCATTTAACCTGTCTAGACCTGTTAGAATTTAATAGGATTCTACAGATATCCCCTCATTCTTCTAAACTCCAGTGAATACAGTCCTAACCGATCCAGTCTGTCTTCATATGTCAGTCCCACTATCCTAGGAATCAATCTGGTAAATTTTCGTTGCACTTCCATAGCCAGAAGACCCTTCCTCAGATAAGGAGACCAAAACTGCACACAGTACTCCAGGAGTGGTCTCACCAAGGCTCTGTAAAAATTCAGCAAGACATCATTGCTCCTGTATTCGAATCGTCTCGCCATGAAGGCCAAAACAAGATTTGCCTTCTTCACCACATGCTGCATGCTCACTTTCAGCGACTTCAGCCTTGCAGGATCGAGTATGCGAAGCAGCATCGGCTGGTGCGACAGCTAAGGATGTGTTGTCATGTTAAGGGACGTTGGTCTCACTGCACCTCCCCCTTTACCAATTTATTGTCATTCAGTTAATTATCCACCCTCCTTATTTTGCTACCGAAGTAGATAACCTCACATTTATCTATATTATACTTTATCTGCCATGCATTTGCCCACTCACTCACTCAACTTCTCCAAATCACATTGTAGCTACTCTGCATCATCCTCATATTTGATCCTCCAGCCAGTTTTGTATCATTGTAAACCTGGTGATATTATATTTATACCCCTCATCTAAACCATTAACATATATTGTGAATAGCTGGGGTCCAAACACTGATCCACGTGGTACCATTACTGCCTTCCACTTGGAAAAAGACAGAAAATTTGCTTTGTTTCCTATCTGTCAACCAGTTCTCTATCCAGGTCAGTACACAAACCCCAGTCCCATGCTTTAATTTTACATGCTACTCTCTTACATGGGACCTTCTTGAACGCCTTTTGCAAGTTCAGTAGGAACAACAACCTGCATTTATACAGTGGTTTAAATATAAGAAAATGTCTGCGCATTTTAGAGGCTTCATAAAAAGAGAAGATAATAATCAAGGCAAGTGGAAAGGTACAAGGGTTGAAATTAAGGGTTGAAATAATCCATTGCAACTTCAAACATCTCCATGAATCCTGTACATTGGTCTTACACAGGGTGCTCAATGTGGAAGATCATCAGTTACCATCTTACTAATTTCAACAACTATTTAGCTAATTGGAAGTTTTACTCAGGAGATGGAACAGAGATTGCTGGTCTAATACATCCTACAGCATGGTTAGATCATTATTTGCTTACAGTCATCTCTCTACAGAGAGATCAGTTCAAGAAGAATTCAAATTACTTTTGTGATATGATCCATCCCCGCAAAGCCTCTCACCTTAGCTCTTTAATTACCTACCCTCCTCTAGCCAGAACACAAGTCCAAGGTAAACAAAAAGAATACAGTACAGTAGCTGTCAAAGGAACCACCATGACTTCATACCTGCATGAAGCACATATACTCTACTACAAAATATCAGAGAGAATTGGGCCAACACCATTCTCTGAGATTACAAACAATGTTGTTTTATCACAGCAAAGTGGAACACTTTAGAAAACACAAAACCAGTTGAAATAAATATGCCGTACTATTTGGAGACAATGCAATGAGATTGAAAGACAGTTTTACACTGATGATTGCCTTTACTGGTCAGTGCACAGAGTATAGGAGTTGGGAGGTCACGTGCGGCTGTACAGGACATTGGTTCAGCCACTCTTGGAGCATTGCGTGCAATTCTGCTCTCCCTGATACAGGAAGAATGTTGTGAAATTAGAAATGACTCAGAAAAGATTTACAAGGATGTTGCCAGGATTGGACGGTTTGACCTATTGGGAGAGGTTGAATGGGCTGGGGCTATTTTCCCTGGAGTGTCGGAGGCTGAAAGGTGACCTTATAGAGGTTTATAAAATCATGAGGGGCATGGATTGGGTAAATAGCCAAGGTCTTTTTGCCGGGGTGGGGACATCCAAAACCAGAGGGCGTAGATTTAAGGTGACGGGGAAAGATATAAAAGGGACCTACGGGGCAACTTTTTCACGCAGAGGGTGGTACGTACATGGAATGAGCTACCAGAGGAAGTGGTGGAGGCTGGTATAATTACATTTAAAAGGCATCTGGATGGGTGTATGAATAGGAAGGGTTTAGAGGGATATGGGCCAAATGCTGGCAAATGGGACTAGATTTATACAAGATACTTGGTCAGTGTGGACAAGTTGAACTGAAGGATCTGTTTCCGTGTTGTATATCTTTATGACTCTAAGACTCTAACTTGTCTAGTCGCAGAGCACAAATCTCATCTAAAACTTAGCAGCCACCTGTTGGTAATTGTCTAGTCCAAGGGACAGATAATATACAGAAACTAATTATCTACTGTCACAACAGCTTCTCCCAGGACCAAATAAAAGGTAGCTTCCCAACTGAACAGAGTTTGAACGTAGCTCCTTTCTATACTTAGCTGCAATCAGTTTCCACTGATTGTCAATGTAAAAATACTAATGGTGAATTCCAATTTTATCCTTGTTCTGCATTATTATGGCATCAAGAGTGGTGAAAACAACAGCTGCAAGTGCAAATTTATGAATTGTTACTCTAGAAACAGAGCTAAACTGACAGGTTTCCCTTCCATTTCACGTTGATCGTTTGTAATAAAATATTTTAAGTACAATTTTGAAAAGATTTGGCTCTGTTAACTTTTTAACGAACACTAGACAAGATGGAGATCAATAGCAATTTCTCTCTGTAAGTTCTTGCACAATTTACATGATTTATGCCTCCTTGGGAGGAATTAGAGATCTGAATAAATGCTAGCATGTCAGTAATACCCATATCCTCAGAATGAATTATAAAAAAGTGTGCAGTGAGATTAAAAACATAAATGCAAAAATTTAAAAATACAGATGAAATAGAAATTCTGAATCTAATGTATTGCATTATGAGGAGCCAGTGATATTTTAGTATGATATTGATGATAAGGGAAGCGAACTCATGGGATTGAATGCAGGCTGCATTGTACATTAATCACAGCTGGAGATTAATAGAATTAAGGGTATTGCTCTCTCTTTCTCCTTTTCTCCCAATACTGTGGAACAATATGTCAACATGATTCAAGCTCCTTTAAAAGATATGGGGGAAAAAAGTAGGAGAGGAAAATTTACTGTTTTAAATAGCTAGAGAAATAACCAAGTTAGGAAATTTCGATGGAACCTATTCCACTCTGGCAGAAGAACTTTGTTGGAAACCCAGTTCAGTATGTCAGCGGAGTTACTGCCAAACTAGCAGTTGTGAGTGGCAAAAGTACTTCGAAAATTCACCTTCTACTCTGACTTAGTTTGAACACTTCACTTCCCTAAATACAGTTTGAGATTTCAATTGTAATAAGGATCAGTACATCACTAAAGCAGATAATTTGGTTTGTGAATTTGCTGATTTTGCATTAAATAAGTAATCAAACTAATAACGCATTAATGATCACTGATGCCCTCAGAGAACCAAATTTTGATTTTTGCTCCCCAATTCCCACTCATAATTATAAATCTTTAATCACTGATAATAGAGTGGAATTAAACCTCTTGTCAGTATCATCAGGTTACAGTAATTCTTTTATTCGGAAGGAATAACCAATAAATAAAAAGCATATCAAACTTTATTCGTGTATAATATGCAATAAATGTACTAATTTTACCCTTTCCCCAGGTCACAATGCTGGCAAGCCTTCAATGTGAAAGAAGCAACAAGGTTTAAAAGATACAAGAACAAAGTTAAAGGAGGGTGAGAAGAGAAAAAACTATGACAAACACCGATTTCAAACTCAATTAATCATTAAGAATGCTTAGCACACAAGGATCTTCAGTACAATAAAAAACTGCCAGGCCTCCTTATTCTTTGGACAAGATTATTCAATCTCACTCTGAAAAAAATCAGCAAAATATTTACTTTTAATATTAAGATAGTACGTTGAAAACCCACCTGCACTGCAATTTGAGTGCCATTTGCTGTAGCCAGTAACGTGACAGGTCGTGCTCCTCCAGTCACTAAATGATGCTCATGATTCTGTTGGGTGACCATTTTTTCTACTTCAACGGATGCAGCCTGTAGTGCAGCTATAGTAGCTTCACCCCTCATCTCACAATCTGGTGTCACTATAGCCACCTTTAGTAAAAAACAGATGCTTTTAATCAATTTTAAAAAAAGCTTTTAATTTGCTAAGCACATAATCTCTTCATTTCATAAATTTAGTTATTATTGATTATTTTCAATATTAGATTATTTTGAAAAATGCTGTCAATTAGTCAATTGTAGATGATGGTATTTCAACAGAAATTTAATTTATGTGTAATTGGCCTGCCAAAGACAGTTGTTGGTCATTGGTGCCTTGTTATCCAGGCATCTGATCTAGTGGTTGGAAAACATTTTGCTTTTGATAGCTATTATTGTTACAATTAAAAATAAACATATGTCATTGACTTAAGTATTGTGAGTTAATAAATCTGTTTCACAATACAGCAAACAAGGACAGTCTGTGCTTAAAGTTATTTTGAAAAGAAACAAAAGCAGGTAGGCTACTGGTATGTGATTTTGAAATTTGAAAATTTCTCACTGTTTTATACTGCTTTCACCCACTCAAATTTTCATTTAAGTCTTCACGGCTACGAAACAAACAAAGGCTTAATAATTTGTAAAATTAGGAGGTTCTTTTATGGTTTCATAGACTTGCTTGTGAACTAGTCTCTGACAGCCTTTTTAGATGTAAGGAATATATGAAACAAGAACAACTTAGGAAGGCTTGAAAAAGAACAGGAATGAAAAAGAAAAGGAACGATAAAGAAAAGGAATGAAAAATCAAATTAATTTATTCATAGACTTCAAGTTCAAGTGTTCAAGTTCGATCTACAAGGGAGTTAAAGGTTCTTGGATAAACTGGAATTAAGGACATGATCAGATCAGTCATGATCTTACTGAATGGTGTAGCAGGCTCAAGGGGCCAAATGGCCTACTCCTGCTCCTATTTTAGGAGAGACTAATGGCAGAGCTAGGCTTGACTGATAAAGAAGATTAAATCTGAGACTGGACCAAATTGGCAAGAGGAGGATGAAGTTCTGAACTGGGAAATGCTAGCCTACCTAGACCAAAGGCTCAACCAAGAATCACAGTGACATGCAACCTAGACACTTAAGAAAAATAAGGAAGAAAACAAAAATACTTGAATTTATATAGCACCTTTCACAATCTCAGCATGTCTCAAAACATTTTAAAATCAATGATACAGATTCATGGACATGAAATGAATGTAACCTGAAGTCAGCAAATCACAGAATGATGGTGGTGTCTTGATTACCCAAAGAGTGATGAGCCTGTGGAATTAATTACTATAGGAAGTAGTTGATGCCAAAACATTGAATGTATTCAAGAGGTGACTAGATGTAGTGCTTAGGGCGAATGGGATCAAAGGTTATGGGGAGAAAGCAGGATTAGGCTATTGAGGTGGACGATCAGCCATAATTGTGATGAATAGCGGAGCAGGCTTGAGGAGCCAAGTGGCCTCCTCCTGTTCCGATCTTTTATGTTTCTATGTTTCCACTGAACTTGCCACTGCTCAAGTCTATATTCCATATTTATACATCTGTTCAAGATGCAGTCTCAATTGAATTTCTTTTTAAAGTTTTTTTTGTTCACAATAAATAATACAACTAGTAGAAGGGAAAATCGGATTAAACCTTTTGCAGACTGCTCAAGCTGCATTGTGAAAAAGTTCAAAACGTGCGCATCTGTTGCTATATGCAATTATGGTAGCTTTATTTTGTTCTGCGAAAGTGAAAAATAGTTCAGAAGTTTGGAAAAAAATTGAAAATCTGCATCAATGCATAGAATTAGAAAAGGTCTAGCTAGTTTGTGCACAAGTCTGGCCATTGACTGAGCAATAGCTAGAACAACATATTATTCTAATCTCAAAATAGTAAAAATACAACAGAACTCCATTACCTGTTGGCCATCTGAATCATCTGTTGTTACCATTGTAACTGAGTGCGTATCTTGTGTTGAAATAACTGCATCATGTGTTGGGACTGTGATGGTAGTGCCGTCCTGTGTTACCATTGTTATAGTATTGCCAATTCCTTGCAGATCTGTCTGAGATATGTTGACCTGAAACAAACAAATAAAGCAGTTTTCAAATCTTAACATGCAGACCCAGATTTGTTTTTTTTAAACCAGCCGATCTCTTGGGTTACTGAATATGTGAAGTGAAGACTGTGTAGTCTTCAGTGGGTAGAAAGCAGAGAATAATTTAACTGGGTATAAACATGTAATTTAGGCAATTTCAATCTGATATTTTGTCCATACTTATATGTAATAGTTATGCTGTACATATTAGGTAATACTTGAATTGCACATTACTTACAGTTAAATAGTAATACCTACAAAAATTTAGAGAACAAAAAAATAACATTGCAAACTCATAAAAGAGCCTAATGTTGTCACTTTTGTTCTTGAAAAGTGCACTAATACTTAAAATACTCTGAAAGGGCAAGGTATTTCAAAAGCTAGAACAACAGATGAAGTTAGCTGTTTCATGTTGCTACTATACAATAGCAACAAGTAGTGTTTGCCACTAACAGAATGCTGCTCTCAAACCAAAAATACATCCTGTCTACCACACAAATAAGTCATATGGCACATGAATTTCAGTGTCAGCATGATAACATGTACATAGGCCAAACATCCCAAATTCTCAGATTGTATCAAACAGTAAACCCCTTCGACTGTTCACTGCAGGTACTGATCGTCCCAGTCAGTCTGTGCTTGCAAAACACAGTATCCAACATTAGATATGTTTCGACAATTGGACAACATTTGTTACAAAATCCTGACTGTGCAAAGAATTACAGTGACAAGTCAGGATTGTCAATCAGTCTCACAGTGTGGTACACTTGTGCATACTATAAGCTACATATATTAATACAGGGAGCCCTGTACTTTACAAACAGCAAGAACATGTAAACACACTGCAACACAGGTGAGGGCCATTTCCAGAGTAATGCTTCGATCATTCAATCCCTGGATCATTAAATCCCTGCAGGTTTAAAATTTAAACAAAACTTGGCAGTTAACTGTCAGTCAATGGCAACACCTTTGCCAGTCAGAGACCACTTGCCAAATGATCAGCAGTCTCCCCTCATACAGTACAAATATTATTTTCCATTTATATTGCTTTTTTGTGAATTGTGCTAACGAATACCAAATGAAAAAAGAGCTGTGACAAAATAACATTGATTTGAAGATGTAGTGTCCAAAATCCAGGGTTACCAATGTGGGATGAATCAGTTGAATCTGCTCATGAATGCTTTGCTAAATATAGTAACTAAAGTGTGCAAATGTAGTAATCTACATAAACAGAAAGAAATCAAACTGAATGGGCCTTAGCTAAGGTGATGAATAGTAGAATAGAAAAGTAATGATGTTACTTCCTGCAAGTACAGGAATGACCTGAATTTCCATTTCTTATGGCAACAAGCATCAAGCTGTTCATCGCCATTGAGGCCAACAATGATACTATAATTGGTGGCACCCTCTCAATTTCCAAGGATTTGTGCACTGATCTAATCTAATTCCTTGCTGTGTAACTGTGCAAAATTAATTGGATAAAAAGCAACAGTTGCCATTTGCTTTCTGAACACAGTTTAAAGTTGAGAGTAAAGTTAACACCATAGAAATGTTTAAAATACAGAATTACTTTGAAAATTATGGACTACACACACTATAGTCTTAAAATGAACCAATAACTCAAATGTTAATCCCTTCTGCTCCCACACTGATAAAAATAAACAAAATACAACCGTTAACATAATTCCTGGACAATGCATTTGGACCAACTACAAAAAGCATGAGAAATAGGTCTTAATTCGTAGTAAATTAATACTGGTTTTTATGTGTTTCAGTTGCACCACATTTCTGGAACCAGGAAAGCTCTCCTTCTCAGACCCGGTGAAACTGCAAACTAGTTTGGAAAACATTCTGCAGCAATTCACAGACTTGTCTAAAATTCTCAAATGTTTTTGTAGAGACAGGGTAAACAGACCCTGACATGAATTCTGCTCTGGCTAAAAAGAACAGAACTAAAATGCCCAAAGTGTAAACTGAAGTCGTAAAATGTTTAACAAATTTCAAGCTTCCATGTGTAATGTTTGAATTTTGGAGTTCCTAACTGTCATTTTGTTAGTGAAACAGACTCATTCCAAAACAATTATGTACGATAATATTGAATTTATATATAGTATTATGCTAGTTCTAGAACGGGGATCAGTTCAGCTCGGAGTCTGGTGGGATGGAGGGGTGAGAGAATAGAATCAGAGTGGATTTGGCAAACACATTAGAAGATTCTTCAAGACGCTTGAGGACAGGTCATCCCTTCATAGAAACATGATGCAAAACAATTTAAGGGAACACAAAGTAACTGAGAAAGAAGTGTCCCCTCCATCACCTGTATGCTGAATTAAATGTTATAGAGCAGAGCCTTGCAACATTTTCAAGCAGATAAATGAGTTGGATATAAAAATTTAATAACATAAAGTACATTGATACCATTGTATTTAAATTGAGCGTTAACAACAAAATGCAGGAAACTAACTGTCTACTACAAAGAGGTGTTATGGACTAAAGCTGAGGTCCAAGAAACAGAAGTGATAGAAATGACTCCCAAAAATAGTCACAAATAAAGCGATAGAGATAAAGAAACAAAGTGAGGGGGACATCCAAAAATTCAATATATTCATCTATAAAGGATTCTGGTTCATAGAAAATATTGAAAAAGGAATGGGAGCTACAGAAAATATATATTGGTGAACTTGTTCAAATCTTGCAAGTATCTTGATAACTAAGTAGTAGGTATCATAGCATAATGTAATCTGCCATTTATAATGCTAGCCCTTGCAGTATTCAGTCCAACAGCATCCACTACATTTACCCATAAAATAACTCCTGAACCTATGCAGATGTAAACCACAGGTTCCACGTTCACTTTTAAGGAATTTATTACATCAGTGATTTCAGGTTTTCACAGCTTCCAATTACTTGGGTGTTGCTTTTAGACAGAATTCAGAGAGCAGCCTCCATCTTCTCCTCCTTCTCACAAAGTCTCCTTGTTCTTTTCCCTTCTTGCAGCCTCTTCCTCTTTACTCCTTGCAGCTGCCTGTTTCATTACCCAACCTTGCAGCCTCTGTAACCAGCCAACAGAAATCCACATGGTGAAAGGGACATCATGCTTGACAAATGTCTTTGAGGCTGTAACATGCAGGGTGGATCATGGACTTACAATAGATGTTGTGTATTTGGATTTCCAATAGACATTTGATAAGGTGCCAAATTAAAGGATACTGGAGATGATATCATTAATGGATAAAAGTTTGGCTAACAAAAATTGGAGTTCTGAGGTAAATGGGCAATTTTCAGGTTGGCAAATGCAATAATGTAGGAATGGGAGCTGGATCTCAACTATTTACAATCTATATTAATAACATGTATGATTTGCCAAAAAGGTTTGCCAACAATTCAAAAATAAGTAAGCAAGTTTTCAAGAGGGTACAATGAGACTGTAAAGGGACATAGATAGGTGAAGTGACTGGGTAAGAATATTGCAGATGAAGTATAATCTTGGAAAATGTGTGGTTGGTACTTTGGCAGGAACAACAGAAAAGCTATTATTTAAATAAAAACACATTGCAAGATGCTGCCATAATGAGAGATCTGGGTATTCAGACACAGAAAGTAATTAAGAAGGCAAACTGAATGTTGGCTTTTATTGCAGAGGAGATTTGTTCCAAGTATACAGGCATCAGTGAGACCAACAGTACTGTGTACAGTTTTACCCTACTCATTTAGAAAGTTGGAAAGAAGGTGGTGTAATGATAATGCCATTGGACTAGTAATGCAGAATTGCAAGGCTAATGTTCTGGGAATACGGTGCTGTGAAGATGTGTTATCTAAAATATTAATTTATAATATTATTGGCTGGATATATATATTTTTATAGAAGGTTTTGGAAAGAAAATTTTCAAAGCAAATAACACTTGTTATAGCAGCAAAGATGTCATATTTAGAAAGTTTATAAGGTGCTTGAAGTCATGAGTGTGTGACATGTTCAGGAAAGGTCACATGAATCAGTTTGTCATTGTAAAGCATCTTGTATCTGAGTATAGACAGTGAGAAAAAAATTGCCACAAAGGCAACAGCCTATGTCCACTCTCTCCTTCTGTGTAATCCCTCTCATCAAAGTTTGAGATTTGAAAATGCCCTCAAAGGCCTCATCACCACATGGGATGGTTCTTAAAAATCTCAATCTATACCACGACAACCAAAAAAAGAATCAAACAGCCACAACCAATCCAAGAAGAAACGTCAGTGCCAACCACTTTTGTGGAAAGTGACTTTGTGTAATCTGCAAATAATTCTTTTGCCTGAATATAACTACTACTTGGCCAAAGTACTTTAGGATAACATTCCACATAGTTTAATATTTTTCCTACACTTGCAGATAGATGTGTGCCTATGGGGAAGTGTATGTATTTGCATGTATGGAGATGTGTGTAGATCTGGCAGTATCTGTGGACAGAAAGCGGAGTTAACATTTTGGGTCCAGTGACCCTTCTTCAGAATGTTCTTCCTCTGTGGCTGGAAGGGAGCGGGCGTGTGAGTGGAGGGGAGTGGGCACAAGGGTGGAGGGGAGCGGGCGTGAGGGTGGAGGGGAACGGGCGCGAGGGTGGAGGGGTGCATGTGGGGTGAAGTCTGCGGTTGCAGGGATGGAGAGGTGTATGGAGGAGGTCTGCGTGCGTGGGGAGGGAAGGGCGCATGGGGTGGAGGAAGAGCTTACAGGGAGGGAAGGGTATGCAGGAGGGAAGGGTATGCAGGGGTGAAGGGCATGCCGGTGGGGAACAGTGTGCGGGGGAGGGGGAGCGCAAGTGTGCTGGGGGTTGTGCGAGCATGTAGGGTGAGGCACAGGGGAGGTGTGTGTTAGGTGCGAGGTGCAGGTGAAGGTGCATGTGGAGGGGGAGGGCGTGTGGGGGCAAGAATGTTTTTACTTTTTAAACCATTGTTGGATTTATTTGCAAATTTAAATCCTTTTTTGTCAATAATCTGTCCTCAACTAAATGCTTTAAGGTAGGTCTTTATTTATCCATTTAAGGAACCTGGCTGCCTTGATATGGAGCTACATGCAGTCTAATATGTATAAAACACACACATATAAAATTGGCAACATCACCTTCCTTTTCAAATTCAAGTTTTGTTGTGTACAGTCGAAGTGTGCGGCAAGTAAAGGGATCCAGTAGAGGTTTATAACAATGATCCCAGGAATGAAGGCTTGTCATATGAAGCAGCAGTTGAGGACTCTGGGTATATACTCAATGGAGTTTAGAAGGTTGAGGAGGGGGATCTCATTGAAAATTACAAAATACTGAGAGGCCTGGATAGAGTAGTCAAAGAGAAGATGTCTTCATTAGTAGGTGAGACAAGGACCCAAGGGCATAGCCTGAGTGAAAGGGATCAAGGATTATGGGGAGAAGGCAGAAGCATGGGGTTGAGAAACTATAAGCCATGATCGAATGACGAAGTAGATTCAATGAGCTAAACAGCCTAATTCTGCTCCTATATCTTATGGTCTTTTGGCCTACATGTGACTCCAGATCCACACAATGCGGTTGATGTTTAACAGCCCCCTTAAATAGCTTAGTGAGCACCTCAGTCATTCTAAACTGCAGCATCATGGATGCATCCGCACCAGATGGACTATAACGGTGTCTTGTTTTCACAAGCTTCCCACAGGCAATTAGAGATATGCAACAAATGCTAGCTTCCCAGCAATGCTCAGATGCCATGAAAAAGCAAAATTTTTCTTAAAAAAAGCAACACAATTTTAAAATGAGGAATCTCTCATTTAAAATGAAGATGAGGAAATTTTTCTCTCAAAAGATCTTCATCTTTGGAATTCTCTTCCACTGAGATCATGGAGGCTAAATCATTAAGTATTGTCAAGGTTGAGTTAGACAGATTTTTCATTGACAAGGAAGTCAAAGGTTGTAGGGAGCACCACATGAAAATGGAATTAAGGCCAAAATCGAGCAGCCATGAGCTTATTGAATGCCAGAGCAAGCAGCAAGGGCCAACTGGTTTACTCCTGCTCCTAGTTTTTAAACAATCTGAAAATAAAGTAGCATAGGTTGTTTGTCAATCTAAAATATACATTTTCTCCATTCTTTCTGGTCCAGTGTACTTTGGCCAAGTGAAAAAATGGTGAAATTCTTTGTCAATGGTCTGTATGTAAACTTACATGAAAGATACTGGAGAGATTTTCTCAGATATTCTTGTCTTTCCTGGCAGTTTATATTGAAATTATTTTAATAAAACCCTTTTTTAAATTTTACTTTGTGATGAAATGTATACAATTTATACATAATTTTGGAATTAGGATTTCAAAATAGATTCAGGCACAGTTTGTTAATTCTGTGGAGATTGGACAGTCCTCTGGAACAGTGAGTTAGATCCAACATTTTGTCAGAACGCAGGTGACTCTGGATTCCTGTGGCTTTAATGGAAAGACATTCATATGTTTGGGTTTATGGACAGGCAGCCTAAACATGTAAGCTTTGTTTTCAGTTCGGATATACGTAGGATGGCTGAGACTTTTCTCAATTCAGTTCAGAAGACATCAGTTTGAGCTTAGAAGCAAGTTTTGATTTTCTCTTCAAAGAAATCTGGTTAGAAATCTGCAGTTTATTAGAAGTGAGAAAGTTAAAGCTTTCAGATTTGTAAACAAAATTAACATCAGTAAATTTAGAAAGGACTTGTCAAACTGTCTCCTTAATCCAGAGGGGAGAAAAATTGTAAGGAATGGAACTGTAAAGAGTTGAATAGGGTATATCACTTCTCTAGACATGAGTCTTTGTAGGGGCTAACGTTGGGAAATAGTCTGAAACTTTGCTTTGCTTAATTTTAGATTCTAACTGTTGTGTACATATTTAGATAATTTTTAAAAATACCTCCTTGTGTACAATAAACTTCTGCTGTTAAGGAAAACTTGCACCCTCTTGTAAATGCATCTCAACAGACACAAAGGAGAAGAGTAAAGTCGCAATAATTCCAGAGGACGATAGGGTTGCCCCTTATTAGATAGAGAGGCTCTCTTATTAGATGGAGATATTTGGTGGTATTTTAACCTGAGGGTCACCATGCCTCAGGCAAAGGGAGGGGTTGAAAAGGAAGGACCTTCGGGGTAACCTCAGCTGGTGTGGGAAATGAGCGCATGCTGCTGGTTTCACTCTGCATCAAACCAGCTGTCCCGCCAACTGAGCTAACCAACCCCTCAAGAGAAGAATAAGCAAAAGTAAACAAGATAAACTTGGACTCTACATGGCTGCTCAAGACAGGAATTTGAATTTCGTCTTTTTCTTACCTGTTGCTGCGTACCATCTTGCGCAATAAGGGCCATATGCTGACCTACATTTGCTTGAGCAACTGTAGTAACTTGTCCAGATAACCCATGGTCTTCTTCAACTCCGGTTACATAGGTAATTGGTTGTCCTTTAAGGATTTCATCTCCAGAGGTAACTTCTAAAGCAAAATAGGACACAGCAATACATTTCAAATTGGGGAATGTCTCATTGAACGTTAAAAAAAAAGAGTTAAGTCTAAAACTAGTAATTTCATATTTATGAGAGAAAAATTACAGGGAAACAATGTTGGGGAATGGAAATGAAGGATCGCTGTTTCAAATAGCTGGCACAAACTCAATTGACTGAATGGCCTTTTGTGCTACACTAAGCTGTTATTTTATCATGCCAAAAAATGCAGAATATTGTTATTTCAGTCTCTGGTGCAGGAACATTAAACAGTTTTGCATGTTATTTAATTGAGAGTTCACAAAATAATCTACCAATTCAGCAGGAAATTCTGTTTTTAAAAAGAAAAGATAGGCATTAATATTGCATCAGATTCTTACAAATCCATATTGTATTCAAAAACTTCTTATTCTAACTTTTTGGCAAACATAAAAGGTCAGCAATGTTTCTTGCCTTCTGCTGCAGCACCTGACATTAATGAGGTATTATCATATAAAACAGCTGTTGTTTGTAGCTGTTTGTTTGACCCTCATGTTCAAAGAGAAGAAAAAGGAAATGCAAATTCACATTTTGTCATGCTGAGCAGTCTAAAACTCCAAGTGCCAAAACACAACAGAAACACTTTTACTTTGGATGATTCATTAATCTCAGATGTAAATCATTCCTTGATTATATGCATGAGATTTGTTGTAAATCACTGCTAAATTTATTCAAGGTCATTATCAAGATGTAGCTAAATAGTTTAAGTAGAAAGGAAATTTGGTCCCAGGTTTTATATGGTCTAGATGCTAGTTGAAATTTATGACTTCATCAACAACACCAAAGATTTTCATTTGGTGGCATGGGTTGGTTATGGGGTGGTTGAAGAAAGAGGAGCAGAAATCACCTTTTTGAGTAATTGGAAATAACAAGAGAAGGGAAAATATTGTCATTTGTATAGTACAATATACATTTGTAATTTCTCAGATCTACAAAATACAGCTACAGAACTGTTTTTTATTAGATAAAATACATATCATTACAATCCTGGACCAAAGTGCCACATTAATGTTATGATCTGGCTTGAGACCAGTATCGTTTTGTCAAAAGCAAATAAAGTGTGAGATCCAGGGGACTTACTAAGAGAATAGAGCCACAAACAAACAACAATAAATGCTACTGTACAACTTTATAATAATAATACAAATCTACAATACAACTTAGTCCTAACGTTCAAGAATTAGCACGTGGTAAACGTGCGTAACACACTGAATGAACACTTTATATGGGCATCAAAGAGCAAATTAAGTCAAAACCAATTTGACAGATTTTGTTTTATTCATTCACGGGATGTGGGCATCGCTGGCTAGGCCAGCATTTATTGCTGATCCCTAATTGCCCAGAGGGCAGTTAAGAGTCAACCACATTGGTGTGGGTCTGGAGTCACGTGTAGGCCAGACCAGGTAAAGATGGCAGTTTCCTTCCCTAAAGGACATTAGTGAATCAGATGGCTTTTTCCAACAATTGATAATGGCTTCACAGTCATCATTAGACTCTTAATTCTGGATTTTTTTTTGAATTCAAATTCCAACATCTGCTGTGGTAGGATTCAAACCTGGACCCCCAGAAGCTTACCTAGATCTCTGGATTAACAGTCTAGTGATAATACTTCCAGGACATTGACTCTATACTACAGTAGGAGGGAGAGCGCTTTACACTATGGAAAGTGGCCATTCAGCCCAATATGTCTAGGCCAGCCATCTATTTTACAGCATATAGCCCATAACCTGTTATGTTATGGCACTTCAAGTGAATTAAATATTTTTTAAATGTTTCTGTATCCTTCATAATTTTGTACACCTTAGTCAGGTGTTCTCACAATCACCCCAACTCACCCGCCCGCAGCATTCACTGCTGTGAGGAAAGCAACCCCAGCCTATTAGTTTCTCTTCTTAGCTGAAATCACACTTCAGTACAACTGAGGCACACAAGCAGTGTTTGCTTGATGTAGCTCAGAAAAACTGAAACCCAGGAAAACCCAGGACAATTTTAGTCTGGTAATGCTAGCTGTTGGTGGAGTTATGTTTATGAATGATGACTGGAATGCAGTTTTGGACCCCCAGAGGATAATTTGCCAGAATGGGAGCAGTCAGTGAAGGGGCACAGGTGCACAGGTTCTTGAGGAGCTTACTGGGATTTTCTGATTCACCGTGTCATCACCATTTGGAAGACATTGCTGGATACCCCAGAGAAGGCTAGAGGCCAGGTGGGGTCATGGTGAGAAGCCCTGACTGAGACGTACAAAATTATGAAGGACACAGGGTGCAGAGGAAGAAATGCTACCCTTACGAGAGGGATCAATACTCTGGTTAATCAGATTTAAGGTAAGGCGCAGGGGTTTAGAGGGGATTTAAGGAAGCATTTGGGTGGTGAGTATGCCTGAAAGGGTGGTAGGGGCAGGAAACATCACAACATTTAAGTACTTAAATGAAGAATTACAGTGCCATAGCATACAAAGTTTTAGGCTAAATGCTGTAAAATAGGATTAAAGTGCTTGATAGCTGGCATAGATACAATGGGCTGAATGGCTACTTTCTATACCGTAAAACTCTACGACTCTATTAAGGCTCGTAGTCTCTTCTGATACAGAATCTGCAATCTTCCAACTCTCTCAACTCCCCATGACCATTTGAGTCCTGACTGACTCCAACTGCCAACTAATTTTGAGAACTTGTTTTCTGATAGACCAGAAACATCCAATTGCTCTTGACTCCTTCCTGAGTTCCCTACATAGAATATGTAGTTTAGCTATCTTCCTACCAGTACAGCTAGGTGCAACAGTCCTACCACGGAGTCTACATGTCTGTTTCTCCTCTCCCACTCACTGCCTGTAACCTCTTCAGTATTCCTGAACTGTTCTGAGTGACCTATTGAAAACCTTGCAGTAAGTTCGTCACCAATTGCTAGGCAAAATTCAATTTTGCCACACAATAACCTTCAAAACCATCTGCTCCATAAATGCTATCGGTCATAGATTGCTGGTTTGCTCAGCACAACAAGCAGATACAAACAGAGGATTTCATCATCATATTGACTTCATAATTACCTTTCATTTACATCTAACATCCCAAAACTAAATCTCCATTTGCTAACCACAAACCTATAGTTGCAGGTTTGAGACTCAAAAGGTGCCAAATGCACAGCTACATAATTAGAAAAAAAAAGGGCATTCTTGTAGTTGAGTATTCTTAGTCTTACAATAGAAAAATTAGGTTTGCAGAGAAATCCCTTGTGTTTCAATAGAATTAGAAAACTACAAGAAGCTGATGAATAGATCATATGTTACATATAACAATTTTGATTTTTGTCATGCATAACTTGATAAACTGTAAGCTTCAAATTACAGCTCTAAACAATACCTCACCTGGGATTTGACTGTCAAAGTGCAGTCATTGTATAGTCCTAAGCCATATAAATCAGGAACTCCCAGATTTGATCTGAATTGGAATGGCAGCAGAGCACAAAACAGACATTGACATCTCTGAGCTGATGAAAATCAGGGGAACAAAGAAAATTAGCCAGGATCCTGATTATAAGCTACAGAGGCCTTTCGGAAACTGCACCCAAATGCACCTCCACTGTGCCCACGGTCAATGGCTCAATACTCATAATTGAGGCTAACACAAGAGGAATTACCACGAAGACAATCCAGCACCTGTGAACTTATACTTAGAACAAAACTGCACCTGCAGATCAGGTACATTTGGTACTCATGCCTTCATCTGCCAAATAAAATTTGAACAGATCAACCAAGAATGCTTGGCATCGTTTTGCTGGAGCTTTGGAGGCAGAGGTGCGATCCTAATAGAATTATATAAAACTATGAGGTGCATGGGTGAATAGTCAAAATCTTTTTCCTAGAGTGGAAATGTCAAATACAAGGGAGCGTAGGTTTAAGGTGAGAGGGGGAAAGTTTAAAAGAGATATGTGAGGAAAGTCTTTTTTTACACAGAGGGTGGTAGGTGCCTAGAACACATGCCAGGGAGGTGGTAGAAGCGGATATCATAGCAACACTTAAAATACATTTAGACAGACACTTGAACAGGCAAGGAGTAGAGAGATATGGACCAAGTGCTGGCAGATGGGATTAGTTTGGAATGGCATCATGGTCGGCATAGACATAGTGGGCCTGTTCCTGTGCTGGACTGTTCTATGTTTAACAGATAGTCAGGACCATGATCTCCGACTTTATGGAGCACACTTACAGTGTTAATTTGAAAAAAAACTTCAAGTTTGTTTCAATATTTCTATTTACAATAATGAATTTCACTTCACACAAACTTTTTCAGACTTATGCCAAAAATAATCTTTTTATGATTCTTCAAGATTATTGAATATTACTAGCTGGTCTAAGACGCATGGACAAAAACATGAAAACAAATAAAGTTGTACTTACCATCCTGTGGTTCAAAGAAAGTTTCTTCTTCTTCAGTTGGTTCACTGTCACCATGTGCAGTTCGTTTATGCATTGCCAGCGTAGATGTCTGTTTATATGTTTTGCCGCAGTGGTTACAGTTGTAAGGTTTGGAATGAGTGTGAACTACATGGTGCTTATATAAACTGGAGTACTCGGTGAAGCGCTTATCACAACCAGGTACAGTACATACATAAGGTTTCTCCCCTGAAAATTATAAATAAATAATGTCATAATTACATAATAAAGATAAATTCAACACTAAAAGTGCAAAATCCTATAAAATGCTTAGACAATGTGCAAAAAAAACCTAAAATTCTTTTGTTCCATCTAATAGCTTGAAAGAAGCTACAGCTCAAATTCAGCAGAATTAGCATTCCATGCTAAGAAATCTTATTTTTCTTTGAAAAACAGTTTACTGATGCATTACACAACTGTAGTGTTGTCAGTTTTTCTGTCCTAAATCCAACATGCAGACTAGAGGTCAAATCCAAGCTATAAACTCCTTTTATCCAGCCACGAACCTTTTGCTGAGTGCTTCAAAATTTTTGCTCGATTAAACAGGACTCTCTCACCGACTATAAACATGCAGAAACTGCACAGGGTAATTATTCATGTAAACAGGACACCTTTTCTGAGTCAGTTATAATGATCACCACCTTTCCAGGATTTAGTTTGTTACTCAAAAATGTACAATTCTGACTTTCAGGCTTTGAACAGAAAGTTGAGACTCAGCTCTTATTCCATTATACTACAGATTTAAACTCTGGCAAATTAATGCATGCACATTGTAGTTATCCATATTATGACTACTAATTGAAAATATACCTGTGCTTTGTATATTCCAATCAAATAATAAATCTCTTCTAAACATTATAAAGGTAAAGGATCTGAGTGAAAGTGAGGATTGAAACTTATCCCAGGTTATGATCCTTATAGTAAATGACTCATTGACTTGAATTGGCTGAAGCCTGAGAATTTGCCATTCCCCTTCTCACCATGTCATCCAGGAAGACAAAAGTGAATCAAAAAGATGGCAAAACACTGTTATACTTTTTACCATAAGAAAGCATTCAAGACGAATTACGTCATTGACCAAAATAATGTATTGGCTTAAATAGATATTTAAATAGGTAGTTGCTCTGTTAGGTAACATACTAATAAGCAGGCTTTAGGAAATATTGAGCAGCACTTTATTCTGATTGATACCTGTGTGTATCCTCATATGGTTCTTGTAATTAGTGGCACTAGCAAAGGCTCTTCCACAGCCAGCTTCTGGACAGAAATATGGCCTTTCACCTGTATGAGTTCGAATATGCACTTTACGAATATTTGACGTGGTGAACGATCTGCCACAGCCTTCAAATGGGCATTTAAATGGTCTTTCACCTGTTTGTCAGATACAATGCAATTTGACCTTAACAAAAACAGGGCATAATACATGTAGTAAATCATGTGCAATATTTAGTCAACATATTACTGTAATATCATATTTAACTTATTTATAGTTATGCATATGTTTGCTTGAAAGTGATTATAGCACAATAGTTCTGCCAGAGATTTGATACTAAAAATTTTTGATTTGCTTATATTTCATTTAATCTCAAGCAGTAAAATAAGGACACAAAAAAGGGATTCAGAGATAGTGGGAACTGCCGATGCTGGAGAATCTGAGATAACAAGGTGTAGAGTTGGATGAAC